GGGGAGTTACATAGCAAAAATTACAAAACACTTCAAGTTAAATATTAGACACTCATAAGGTTAGAGGCCCTTACCCATGCCCACCCCCTGGGCTCCGCCTCCAAGGAAGGCAAGAGACAGACAGCCTGCTCCCTCTCCTCGCTCAGGAAGTAAAACCCCAACCACGCTCCCTCAGCAGCTCATCCCTCGTGGGTCTCTTTCCCGGCCCTTCCCTGGGGCTTCTCCCCTCCCCTCAACGGGCTGCCGAATCATCTTCCCCGTGGAAAAGCATCGCCCTGTTTCCGATGCCAGCCAGCCCTCAGGTCGAGGCCAACGAGGAGTTCAGGCTGGGCAGTGTGCAGGCCAGACCGAGAGCCCAAAGCTGCCTTCTGTCTTCATGGGCTGAGAGGTTTTTATTTTTCCTTTTAAAAATAAATAAGTGTGTCTGTGTTTTAGGGGTGGGCTAAGCCGAGTCGGGGAAATACGGAGCTGCCTAGGCTAGTAACACACTCTGAGGACTCAGCATGAGTTAGGTGCGCGCTGTGTTTTTACCCAAACAGCACGTGCGACGACACGGTGTGTTTTTTGCCAACCTTGCCACACTCTCCGCGTGTTAGTGTGTCATGTGCGCGGTATATGCGAAGACTACAATACTCCCTGATGTCAAAGCCACTGTACCCCCATTTCACAAACAAGGCCACTAAGGTTTGGAGAAGGTAAGTCATGTGTCCAAGGTCCCTGTGGCCGTTATATAGTCTGTCAATTTGTGAAGTGGTGGAGTCTAGCCTGTCAATCAGATCGGAGCTAATGAGGCCTCCAGGTGGGCATGGCCTTCGCCTGAGGATTCTTGGAACTCTAGTCTTCCTTCCTGGAGGCCGGGAGACATTCTCTGAGAGACATTCCTGTTGACAAGCCACATGGCGCTACGCTGATGGAGCCAGAGCCCTAGAGCTGGAGGAGCCACATGGAGACCCACGCCAGATGCTGCCACGACCACTGGCTTCACAAGACTTTCCACCCACTGGCCTGTGAACTTTCTGCATTCGGTATCGTTGCATGAGTCTAAAGAGGAATTTTTGGACTAGTATCGATATACGGGGTAATATCGGACTTAGGGACTTGATCTGGACTGGGCTGAGATGGTTTCTTAATATGCAATTGCCCTTTGACATAAAACTCTCTTATACACATACGAGTGTCTCCGGAATTTGTTTCCTAGGCAACCCGGACTAAACAGTCACACAAGTTGTGAGAGGCCAGTTCAGCCAGCGAAGGAAGTCCGTGGCTCGAGGGTTGACGGTCCTAAAAACTCAGAGTTAACTCTCTGGCGGGACATTTTCGGATGCCAATCACAGCGAGTGCTGGGGAAGACTGCCCATTCCCACTCTGCCTCATGTTCCCTCTCGACGCAGGCGTGGCCAACAATGCCCCAACCACACACAGTCACCCTCAGGTGCCGAGTCCCCTGCTCACGTGGTACGGCCCGCTCACTCAGCAGCATCCTTCTCCACAGCCCCCGATTCCTGTATCCAGTCCAGGAGAACAGCGGGCATCAGTGCCAGGCATACACATGCAGGCAGCCCCGGGCAAAGCTGGCCACCCCCGTCCTGTCCCTCCACCCACTGGCTTCGGGTCTAAAGCAGTGTAGCCCATGTCTACACACACACACCTCTACCCGCAACTCCCTCCCCTTCCCCAAATGCCTAGTGGGAACCTCTCTTGAGGAAGACCACCCACTCTGCAGTTAACTGGTGGCCACGGGGACAGAGTCTCTTCCGTCACGGCAGCCCCATGAGACCCGTGGTCTGCTTTCCTGCCCCTGAGACCCCTGGTCAGGGCCCCTACTGCCCTCAGAGCTCAATGACCTGTATCTCTCTGCCTCACCCACCTTCCCTCCCTCATCCTGTGCTTATGGAGCCCCTGCGGAGTGCCAGGCTGGCCTCCAGCGGACCAGAGTCGCAGAACTAGGACGACAGTCTCTTTCGCCAGACAGGCCTGGCCGCTGACCATTAACCTCGCTCCTCTGCAGGCCGTGGCCACTGGGGAATTGTTTCTGAAACACAGCGACTCCTTTGCTGACTATACACCAAAGACGCCCCAGCACACCAAGCAATCCACAAATTCTGGATCCTGGTGTGCGCGACCTGGGCCCCCACCTACATCAACAGCTTGACCCATGCACGGCCCTCTCCCTTGCCCGATATTCCACACACACTGGCCTCCCTTCTGCACCTGGGACCTGGTGGTCACCTTCCTGCCTCTGCACCGCCGGCCGTGGTCTTTCTCATCCTTCAGGCCTTGGTTCACATGTCACCGTCATTTCAGAGAGGCCTCCCCCTGGCCCTGCTGTCCCCAGGGGCTGTCTCAGCACCCTCATGTCCTCCACAGCACACACCAGTCTACATCTGTCTCGTTAATTAAGTGTGGCCCAGCCTGAGCCTCTGATAGATCCCCAATGCCTGGCACAAAGCAAACTTTTTCTGCTCATAAATTAAGCATTAGTAACCTTAGCAAATGAACTGACCTCTCTGTCTTTTCCCTCCTTAAAGTGGGTGGCACAGTGCCCACCAGGCTGCAGAGGACCCCAGGAGACCGTGGGGGTGCCTGTTTGGGGTGGGGGGGCACACAGGCAATGTTCTAAGGAGACACGCAAGGGGACAAACCCTGAGCGAGAGAAGAGGTGGCTGCAAGCTGGTTCCCTCAGAGGAGTCACAGTTACACTGAGAATACACAGCGCCACAGCCCAGAGGCGGCAGGAGGCACTGGCCACACTGAGATTCCTGAAGGCCGGGCCACACCAGGGCGAAGCACACCTGTAAGTGCCCTTGTCCTCGGCTCACTGGCCTGGCCCCACTGCTGTAGGCAGGTGACTTTCCTGTAGGCTTCTAGGTCAGTTCACCAAGGGAAGGGCAGCTCACCGCCCATCCGCACAGACCTACTTTCTGCCCCCGGGCACACAGGTTGGTGCCTTAGTTTCACATCTGTCCCACATGAGGTTGGCATCACTATGCTGAGTCAGCCAACCAGAAGGGAGGCAAGGTCTGCCACAGGGCATGGATGGGGTAGGGGGCCTCACCCAGCACAGACCCACCCCCCCACAGACCCCTGCACACATGCCTTCTGCACCAGAAGCCAGTCCAGCTCCCCAGGCCACCACGCCCTCAGCCAGCTCCCGTCATCTCTGCGTGTAAGCCAGGCCCCTGAGGACAGGGGCTCAGGAAGCGTGGCCTGGAGTACAGCAGACAGAGACTCTAGTAACCAGGCTTGTGGGAAAAGCTGTTTAGGTGTGGGGGGGTGGCTTGCACACAGGGGCTGGTGGGATGGCTTGCTGGCCCCATCTGGAATGCCGGGGAGCTTTCTCCGCTGCCATCCTTTAAGGCAGCGGTTCTCCACCTTCCTCATGCCGAGACCCTTTCAGACAGTTCCTCGTGCGGTGGTGACCCCCCAACCACCAAATTATGTTCTTTGCTACGTCATCACTGTCACTTTGCTCCTGTGATGAATCGGGGACCCTGTGAAAGGTTGAGCACCGCTGCGTTAAGAGCACTTCTTCCCTGCTGGCCCACTGCTGAAACCCTGCTGGCTGAGGACCCTCGGCCGACACAGCGGAGGGTCCAGGGGAGTGTTCCCTGAGACGACAGTCTCCTACCTTGACTCATAGCGTCCTTTGCAGCAGCGGACAGACACATCGATGAACCTGGAGCTATGCCAGGAACTGCACACCAGGCGGGGACTGTTGCCAACACCCGGCTTTTCCGACAGAGAAGCCAAGGCACAGGGAAAGTAGGCCACGTGCTTTAAAGCCACCCAGTCAGTCAGGAGCGGAGCCATCCTTACATCCACCGCCACTCCGGGACCCTATCTGCTGGCCTGTCCACAGATCTCTGCCCCAAGTGCTTGCCTGTAGGTTCCATCGGGGCTCCCTGCTACCGGAGCTGTGGTTCTAGTCGGGGAAGTGTGTCAGTGGTTAATGGGCTCAGTGGCTACCCAATCGGTCAGAGGCTCCAGTTTACCCGAGGGGCCTCAGAAGAAGAGCCTGGTGAACTGCATGCGGACTCTCTGCCATTGAAAACCCTCGGACACATGGAGGTCACTGGGTCAGAACTGACCCCTGGACAACTGGTCATCAAGGACGATGCTACCAACGAGCCACTGGGTGGCAGCAAAGAGCCAGGCCTGGGCCACTTTGTACCCTTTACCTCCTCCCACCTGCTTTCCCAATTATAGCGAGGAAAGGCATTTTATAGACAAGGCATTTGCCGGAAGCTGGACAGTCAGAAATTTTACGACCGGAGCCAGGATGGCCAAATACCAAAGCCCGGGAGAATTAGGCCAGGGAACCCTTTCTGCAGGCTAACTCTGGGCCCAGCACGGACTCTGTCCTCCATCAACACTGGGCTTTCAGCAGGAGGCAGTTACATTACCTGGAGTAAGCGCCAAAGGTCACCACCCCAGCAGCCATGGTGCTGGACGGGCTTTTGAGGCTAGACTCAGAACTGAAGGGGCCTCGGTGGACTGGCAGCTAGGAGACTGCAGGAAGCCACACAGGCCTGGTGCCGGCACCGGTGCCCCCTCTCCCTGCCCTGGGTCCCTCTTAGTGGGCCAGTGCTCCAATCACCCAGCACAGCTGCCGCCAGAACCCAAGAGCCCCACGTTCCCTGCTACCACAGACAACCACCCTTCACCCCACACCTGAGCCGCAAAGCCCGCCCCTGGGTGCTGGGGGAGGCCTCCAGGCTGGCTGTCCTGGGGAGAGTAGCAGCAGGAGCAGCCAGCAGCCGAGGCGTGGGCGCACACGTGGGGCGAGCAGATGAAGAGTCCATGTCCGTGCAGGGTGGTCAGGCGCTGGAGCACGGCCGCAGGGGGCCCGTCGCATCTTGAGCTTCAGTGCTGGTGCCGGTGGTCCTGGCAGAGCCCACCGGGGTACAGGTGTCAGAAGCACCCACCTCCCGCTGGCCCCACCCACTCCCCCACCTCCTCCCCAGTCCCTCCCCGGGCTCATACAGCCAGACCAGGGCTTCTGAAAATCCACAACAGGTTGGGTTTATTGGGGGTGGGGGGCAGCGCAAGGTCGGAGGTCTGGTCCTGGGTCAACTTGCGGCCAGTCAGGAGGCCGCCCTGCAGGTCCCTGGCCCACCTGCCGATTTCCTGCACACACACCTCTCGCCCACCCTGTCCCCAGTCTCTACTCCTTCACCAGCCGGTAGATGTGGTGCTGGGCCCCGTGCTCACTGGCAGAGACCTCAAAGACGTAGGCAATGCACAGTAGTGTCTCTTGTGTGTCCCTGTTGGTGACCACCTGTTGTGAGAGAGGAGCGTGTTACTCTACCCACCTGCCAACGTTCCCGTGCCACTCCCCCCAACTGCACGCATGCACGCACGCACCAACCTGCAGGATGGTGAAGTTCTCCAGCACGCTGTTCATCATGTACTTCTCGGGCAGGTGCTTCAGTTTGTGGATGAAGTTGATCATGTACTCACAGAGCGGGGACCGGTGGATGCGGTACGAGTAGTGGCCATTCTCATAGCGGGCATACTCTGTCTGCAGACCCAGGGGACAGCGGGGAGGGACTCAGCATGTCTCTGACCACCTCCAGCCCAGGCCCCACACCCTGGGAACCGCCAGGACCCAAGCACTGTATGGAGGAAGGAGAAGCAGGATGCCCGGAGGCGGGTGGATATTAGACCAGGCCTCCCTCCAGGGTGACAGGCACACACTGGGGCTGGGGCCGGGGAGCCCAACAAGACAAAGGGCTGTGGCCACAGGGGACCCCGATGGAGGTCTGACACACAACCCCGGGAGGCGGGCTGGAATGACGTCGGGGAAGGGTGGCACGGGGGCGCTGTGTGGGGCTGGAATGGCTGGACACTCTCATCACACAGAGCCACACACGGGGCCTGCAAACCTGGTGCGATCTCACCGTGAGCGTGGGTTCTATGGCTGTCAACCTGCAGCTGGGCAAGGAGCCGAGCCCTTTGGGGACTGCTGGGTAAACTACTGGGGGCGCGGGGGTGTACTAGAAGTTTAGGCTGGCGAATGTGAAGTGGATGCTCTGAAACGGGGCTTTCTACCCCTGGAAGGAGCCAGTCTCAGAAACCCACAGGGACAGTCCCATCCTGACCTGGAGGGTCGCTGTGAGTCAGAATTATTCGAGGGCCGTGAGTTGAATTGAATTTATTAAAAACAAAAACGGACCCCCAGGTGGACCCTGCACCACAGCTGTATATACCAGATGTCCTCACCAGGGGACGCTGGGTGAAGGGCCCACTGGCTCTGTGTCGACTGTGGACCTACCATTCCCCATGCAATTTTCAAGTTTACCTAAAACTTAAATAAGCTGGAGATGTTTAGTAATAAAAAGTGTTCCCGCTACTCCTGGAAAAGTGGGTGCTGAGAGGTCTGTGGAGGGACGTTCTCCTCTGACGTCAGAGGGTCCTGGGAGCAGCCGGGGCACCGGGACAGAGCCTGCCTGACCACACAGGAGGAGGGCTCTGAAAGTGAGCTGGTGGGGCGCAGGGCTGCGAACGTGTGGGGTCAGAGGCCTCTGCTCCCTCACACAGTGGACCCACTACAACAGGGCCATCGGAGTCTGCATCCACGGAGCACAGGGTCAGCCCACCTGGGACGAGGCGGAGGATCTTACCCGCCCCCCCCATCAGCAGAAAAGCGGAGGCGCTGGGATTGGTACCCTGGCCCACCGATCGGGGCCACGAGCCGACAGTCACATTGGCCGTACCAAGGGGTGGCTCTGTGGCTGCCACTCACTTAAGATCGCCTGGGCAGGACCCACCCAAACCAGGGACCGGAGCACCTTAGTGCTCATGGGGGAGGTGAGCTGGCGCTGGATGCCGCGGGAGCTCCGGCTAGCTTTGCTTCTGCCGCTGCCACTGGCTAGCCATGCGAAGGACCCTCTCTTAGGAAGCTCCCCACCCTCTGGGGCTCCGCTGTGGAGGTGGTGGTGAGAAGGTGTGCTCCTGGCCTGGGATGTCTAACAAGAGCCCTGGAGGGACAAGGGGGCCCTCGTAACAACACAGCGCAATGAGGAGGGGCCGCGGGATGCCACCGCCCGGCCGCCTGGCTCCTGAGAAGAGCTCTAGCCAAGGAGATCGCCACAGGCCTCCTACCTCCACTTTCTCCACCACCTGCTTGCCGAAGGAGCACACCTTGGTGGAGCAGGTGATGATCATGTTCTCGGGGCTCTCGTACTGGCTGGAGACCCCGTAGAAGGAGCTGCCATCGTCCTCCATGTTGGTGTTGAGGTCTGCCTGGGGGGAGACAAGGGGAGGCCAAGGCGGCCGACGGTCAGCGGGCCCAGCAGAGGTTGCCTCGGAGGGCCCGAGTCACAGGCTGGGTCTGGGGCAGAGAAGAAACCCCCACTCCCCACTCCAGGCCCGTGCATCAGGCCGGCTGTGGGAACCCCGAGGACCTGCATCGTCTAAGCCGCTACTGCCCACTCCGGGCCGACACACTTACGGCGTCGAGCTTCACAGTTGAAGACTTGCCCTGTGAATGGCCATAGTCGAACCTCCTTCACTTTGAACTTTAGGGTGGACTCATTGATAGAACCTTTCCAATCAATTTGATTGGAAAGTTAAGAAGACAGAAAGGAGCTGGACAGGTGAGAGGAGAGGAGACTAGGGACTGGGGCTTCATCGACTCCCCTCTCTCATGCTCTGGTCTAAGTGATACCTAGACCCTGCCATTTTGGAAAAGGTTCTGGGATCGGGCTTCTTGTCCCATCTTCTTTATTTCTTTCTTGTACTAATTTCTTTTTTAATAGTGGCAAAAATATACACAACAGAACACTCTCCAACTCGACAAGTTCGACGTGAATGACCGTGGGGCTTCTCTGCTCTCTCGAATGCAGAGGGGCAGGAAAAGACAGAGGTTTGGCGACATAGAGGAGGGGAAGAAAAAGTGCGAGGGAGGTACCGTCGGCCTCCAGACGAGTTCGAAAAATGTTTCCAAGAACGGAATCGCAGATGTGACAAATGTAATGGCGAGAGTACTTTGAAGGTGATAAGGGTGCTTTGTAAAAAAATTTTAAATACCTAGCTTTGAAAAAAGAAATCCCATTACAGTGAACCCTCGCCACTCCGCGCTTCGACTTCCACGGCTTCACTCTATCGCGGTTTTTGCGTAACAGCGCATGCTCTGTCTGTCATTACTGCCACTGATTGGCTCATACTGTACACGCTTGATGCCATCAATAATATAATAAAGAATAAATGATAATTGCAACGTCCAAAATGTTTTACTGTATTTTCCCTTTTTCGTTTAATAAATTGGGTAATACGAGTGTAATGGT